AACCGTTTCAGGGTGTTCTGTACCATGAAAATAGTACAGAGATTCTTTTGTTCTTTAGACCAAATTGATTGTTAAAAGAGTGAAGAATACGCATGTTAATTTCTCTAGAACGAGGTACCTCTGACGAAGACATGAGATCTCCGACCTCTAGTTTGCCATGGGAAAGGTTTGAGCTTGTAGCAAACCCAGTGTTGTCATCTGGTCAGCTACTACTACATGTAGTTACATTAATCACTTATTGTGTAAGTGTATAAAGGGTGATTTGCAGATTGTGTGTACTGCTGATTGTAATATATTTTACAAGGGAGATATGCAATGCATGAATAGAAATTTGGGAAAAATATTGAGAAAAATAACCTTGAATTTTAGTCTATTTATCCTTCTCCTACATGTATGCCTTTCACATACATTATACTAATGGAAATTTGTATTGAGCAATATATTTATCATATTCAATTAATTGTAAGAGGACTGTGTGAGTGAGTGTCTAAATATTTTTTCACAACCAGGTTACATGTACATCATAGTTGTTTGTTTTTAAAGAAACATACAATGAAAGAGTTCATATTTCCCCCCTCAAGTAGCCTCAAAATGTCCCATTTCAACTTCAAATTTTCAAAGGCTTCACATGGCGGAAGGGGGGAACCCCCTTCCGCACCAACCCCCCCTCGGTCGCTTCGCTCCCTCGCCATGATAGTGCTCCCCCATGCCAAATTTTTCTAGAAAAACCCCTGCAACCTCACACTCAGGGTGAGCAGATTCAAAAGACATGTTTTATTTTACACAGGTACAGGACAAACATCATAAGGAACCACACACTTTAGGCGTGCAGATTCACAGGATTTATCTATTTAGACTATTCACTGGCAAATGTTACAGTACACCACGTAGACTTTCAGGCAGTGTGGCTGAAGTCAATAACAGAATAATTTTGTGTTGTAGATATAACATAGATATCTATGAGTTATTTTCAAAGTATGGTTAGGCCATGTTGATTTAATTATATGGATGACATCCTCCGGAAACCCCAAAATTGATGCGCGCGTGCAAATAAAAAAAAAGTTTTGCAAAAAAAAAGTTGTTTTCATTATGAAATCTACCTGGTCATGAGGGTTGAACAAATAGGACAGTATATGGTTT